CCTGGACCCCTACGCCCTTCAGGACTGCAGGTCTCTCAGTCTCCGGAGGGCGAAAGCCTTACAGGCCAAACTTTCATTTCTCTTTACCTGAACTTCCCAGCCCCTAGTGCCTAAGGAAGCTTTCACGTTACAGAGGTTTTAAGATCCTCTCAAGGGTTTCAACTAGTGCTGTTCATCTGAGAAATATTCTTGTGAAGAAGACTTTTAATCTGGCAATACTTGTTTATACTCTTTTGATACCTTCTGTTATTATTGGGACTAGCATTGACTAGACGCTAGCAAGTAAGTGTTATGTCAGGAACTTTACCATCCTAGTAACTTTACTAACAGATGCGTGATGCAGCCAGTAATGAGATGTGTATTTTAGCACTGGATTGCCTTATTTAAGGTAGAATGTCCCTGCTCATCTGCCACTTTTTCTCTTTATTTCAGATGATATACGGTTCTGTTTTTTTTTTACCTAGAATGTTATTTGTCAAGGATATACAGTGCTTTTCCAGAAAGCCATAGTATTCATGAGAACAATCTCTGAAAGTTCACATTTCTATTTTCTGCATATGATCCCACCACTTTTGTAACAAAATGTGCCACAAATTTTGCTTCCCAGTGAAGGGATTTGGCTCTACACATTCTTTAAAACATTTTTCTTGCATTTTGGCTTGTAAATGATTGAATCCTATCAAGAAAGCAGGATTAATCCTGCCAAAAGGATTCTACCAGAATACTTTTTGTTACAAATGAAAGTCCTTTCTTTTTTAGATGCCTTGTTGACAACTTCAACAAGGTGCCTTGTTGAACAAGATAGCTTCTGCCCAGGGGTATTTTACAGTGGAATATCTGTAAATCATTAATATAAATGCATTGAATAATCAGATACTAACCTGCTGCCAGCTCCTCTCTAACAATGGTGTTTTTACTGTGGTTTTACTGCCTGCACTTAAGTTATTTTTACTTTTGTTTTGATTTGTGCCAAAATAATTAGATTAAAAGAAACAACAAATCAAAAGTATATCTCAAGGATATACGCTTGTTCTGTCATTTCTTTTACTTTGCTATGCGTGGTGCTTTATTAAATGCTGTAATCTTAGGAAAGTAGATGAGCTTTGGGTTTTAGGGGTAGTTCCAGTTTTGAAGGTTAAGTTTTGCTACCTGGAAGTCACACCAAGAGTCATAAATTTGTGCCCAGAGTGATTTTGTTCATTACCTCCATCATACAACTCACTTTCTGGTTATTGTCTTTAGATTTTACACTAATGAAGGTGAGGATATGTTAACTTTTTTCTTTCATAGAAAGAAAATTTAGAAATACCTATCTAAAGAACTGCAAAATATCCACTTCAACTCTTTGTATTATAACCTGAAAGAATGAAAAGGAAGGTGGTCCCTTTGTAGGAACAACAGTTAGTCTTCTACTGTATTTTTCCGCAGGACTATTTTAGTTATAGATGTTTGCAGAGCAGCAGTGTGCTTGTCTGTCCACATCTGTCATGAATATTATGTCAGTGCAGCAGTGGCTTCCATATTGTAGTCTTTAGGAAACTGTTGTGGTATCTGATCATCAATAGATTCTACTGTGTTCCTGGCAATGGGAATACCATTGCAAGCTCCTACAAGTGTGACAAACGTGTACCGGTGTCCAAAAAAGAAAGATTTACTGATCTCTAATTTTATTGTAATTCTTTGAGGGGTGTATTTGTATGTATGCCTGTATTCCATCATCCATCTTTCTTCTTGTAAGGCAGTAGTAGAGGAGTTTGCAAAAGAACCAACTGGCTTGGGGTATTTAGCTCCGTTACTCTCTCAGCATGAGGCACAGTACTTGGTGAGGCATCTTTACCTCTCTGGAAAGGGACAATAGAAATTGTCTGACATGCACTGATTGCACATATGTCTGAGCGGAATACATTTAAAATGATGAACAGAATACCTTGAGGATTTGTTGTAATAGTGGAAATACAATGATTCTCTTACTGTTCATAAGTTCTAAATATGAGAATAGTGTGTTATTCGACGTACATGTCTGTGCCCTCAAGGCAAAGTGATTCAGAGTACTCTGTATTCACTAAAAGGAAGAATCCTACTCCTAAAGTCAAAATAATGTGACCATCTTGCTAATGTTGGCTTTTACCCGATATAAGCATGTACTGTAATCAGAGTGTCTGGTGGGAGTGTTTCATCTCTTCTTTTGCTTGTTACAAGTTAAAAGCATAACTGCAGGAACTATTGATTTCTGTTTGTAGTACTCTGTTTGTAGATACTGAGCTTGAGTTTAATCTCATGCTGGGGTTGTTCCATTTAAATCTACTGAGTGTCAGCCTGGCACAGCTGAGATTAAATTCCACCTCAGTACTACGTATCTAAACAAGCAAAAACAATGAAGCTGTCTAAAAATAACGTTATAACTATTGTGGAGTTATCTACTAACTTTAGGTAAGTCTGAATTTCGAAAGAGCTTATGAATTAGAATAGAGCAGTTTTGAGAGAGATTTTTATTTTTTTACTTTTTAGGAAATGTGCACTGTTGAAGAACCCAATGAAGAGTTCACATCTAGACATAGCTTAGAATGGAAGTTCCTATTCTTGGATCACAGGTGCAATTCCTTCTATGTATAGCAGCAATAGTAGCTGAATCACAGTGGTGGCTATAATATTTAGAGTTCACTAATCAGCATTAATTACTCATAGCTTGTGTTGGGTTTAATTTTTAATTTTTTTCAGAGCACATACTATAAACAAGAAAAGTTATAGAATGAAATAATTTTTGGTTCTTTTTTTGTGTGAATATAAAATGACATTAATTTTTGTATTAATTAGGGCACCTCCGATAATAGGTTATCTTCCCTTTGAAGTTTTGGGAACATCAGGCTATGATTATTATCATGTGGATGATCTAGATAATCTGGCAAAATGTCACGAGCATTGTGAGTATGACTAAGTTGCTATAATGAATGGGTTTGCTTTAGAGATGTCAGTTTAAAGTTTGTTGTAGTGAAATTTTGTGATATACTTGAGCAAAGTGTCTTTACTCCCATTCATTTGGCATTCTTGCACTGCCGATCTTCATCTTTTTTCTTTTGATACAGAACTACAAAACAGATTTAACTTTATCTTACAATTTAGAGTTTTCATTGTGATAAATTGGAGTGCACAGCACTATGACTAATACTTCTCCAGTTCTTCCAACAGCATTTAAAAGGCTCTATGATGTTTAATAAATGCAAAAATTGTTTAAACATGTAATAGAATAAGCTTTCTGTTTAGCTATGGTTTTCTTTATAAAGCTGCATTTAAATTTCTTGCACATAAATTTTTCACAATATGTAAAAAAAACCCAGAAAAATGGAAGTTTGAATTCTGCAGTTCTCTGAAAAATGCAGTGTAAATTTTTTTTGAAAGAAAGCTACAGTTTTAAACCTGTTCTTAGTCATTGTCGTAATACATGGATTGGGACATGGTTTTGGGCCATATGAAGCTAGGAAATGATGTTTATTAACTGCAGTATTTACAGACTGGAAAGACAGTAAACTTTTATTCTTCACTTTTATAGTAATGCAATATGGGAAAGGGAAGTCATGTTACTACAGATTCCTTACAAAGGGACAACAATGGATTTGGCTGCAAACACATTACTACATCACGTATCACCAGTGGAATTCTAGGCCGGAGTTTATTGTCTGTACGCACACTGTTGTAAGGTAAGTTATCTTTTAAAAATCTATATTGGAGAAATTTTAATGGCATGGGAGCTGTATTGCTGGTATTTTTGGAGGTAGAGAAATCATAGCAGTTTAAAGAATCATTGGAAAACTTCCTGGGATACTTTGTAAGCAAGGTACTTCTGAGGCGTTTGTTTTTTGAGGTATGTTTTTTAAATCATCCAAGAATATAGTATTCATATTTGGTTTGTTCTTCTAGTTATGCAGAAGTTAGAGCAGAAAGACGACGAGATCTTGGTATTGAGGAGTCTCTCCCAGAGATAACAGCAGATAAAGTGAGTGTCCTATATAATTTTATTTTCCCTCTTCTTTCTTTCATACTAAAAATAATATGTAACCAAATATACAGCAGCAAGAAGTGTTTTGTCCTGTTACAGATGAAGTAATTATTTTGATGTCTAAATAATATGACTATTTAAAATGATCAAAGAAGTCTAGGAAGGGTGTTTGTTTAACTGTATTGTGCCCTGAACACTTACCCTTCTCTTTTCGGGAGTTCATGTGCATGTAGTTGTAAAATTGCAACATCCATAAGTCCTTATTAAGATCTGATTCCTGCAGAGTTTGATTCATAAATAAATGTTCTTCCTTACTGGAAGCACCTATAATCTGAAAAACCAATGTCAACACATAAAGATGGCTTAAAGTAATTCATAAGAGGAAAGCAGGAGCTGTTCCATTGTGTGACTCTGTCGCACTTCTTAGAAGTATACAAAATTCATTTTGAATTAATGTCCTTGGAAGCTCAGTGAGTCTTAGATAAGCCAAGCTTGTGCAGATGCTCTGTCATGCTTTCCCCTGGCAGTTCAGAAACGTTTTCCCTTGGCAGTTCAGCAAGTTTCATTTGACAGTGCTCCTTCTAGTGGAATTAACTCATCCTTCCTGAAAAGAACAAGCAGTTCACTCCTTACACAGGTGTTCAGAGTGAATTGAGTTGCTAGAGAAGGTCAACTCAGCAGTCAGTTTGTGGCCTATGTCTGCATGCAGGCTTATATGGCTTTGGTTTGGTTTCTTTTCCAAGGATAAAAGCCGCAAATCCAGGCCACTACTTTTGCACAGTCACCTGTGTAAGGGGGTTGATTAGACACAGCATGGTCTTAGATATTTGCTAACAGAAATGTAGATTGTGTGCTGAATCAGATAAAATAATTGTTGTTTGTGTGTGTCTCTTCAGAGTCAGGACTCTGGGTCTGACAATCACATAAACACAGTGAGTCTCAAAGAAGCACTGGAAAGGTTTGATACCAGCCCCACACCTTCTGCTTCCTCCAGAAGTTCAAGAAAATCTTCACATACTGCAGTATCAGATCATTCATGTAAGCACCAACTGTTGAAAATATAATTGCCTTTCTAGTGAAGGCTTTTTCTACTTTACTTACTTTAATTAAATGTATAACTAGCAGTTAATCATCATTTTGTAAAAAGTGTGCAAATGAAAATGTCCTTTTTGATGGTTCAGAGATCTGCTGACTACTCAGATTTTCAGAGGTTGTATAGTGACTTCTACTTCTAAAAGTACAATAGCAGCCTATTTAAGTCCATCAGATTGCATTATTGTTGGATCGTCCAGGTAAAAAAAAGAGTCCAAGCCTTAAGCTTTTTTTTAATTCATTAAAAGCTTCCTGTGGTTGGATTACTGCATTGCAGAACTGACGTTACTATTAACATGTCTCTTCCTGTTGTAACTCTTGTGCATTGTCAGCCACACCAACTAAAATGACAGTGGACACTAGCACTCCTCCAAGGCAAAGCTTATCTGGTCATGAAAAGACTGCACAAAGAAGATCGTCTCTGAGTAGTCAGGTAACTCTTCAGAGAAAAATTTCGTACTTGATCATTGTAATTCACCTTTAAAAGGTATTATTAAATCCATATAACCTTTGTTTTATGTCTTCTGAAAACACATAATTTAAACTGTAACAGTTTCACTTGGAATATGTGACTATCAGCATTGTATCATCAATATGCAACTTGAGTATACTACATTTTAAGGGAATACAATAATTAAGCGTATAAGTATTTTTTGGCATTAGAGTTTGCAAGATTGTGTATGAATCTCTGCTTTCACTTACACATAACTTCTTTCTATGATTCTGCATTTTTAATATGTATATGTATATAAGAAATTATATACATATATATATATAAAATTGCCAATGTAATACTGTGTATCCCTGTAGAGAATTCATGTAGATTTATGACTCTAAGAAAATTAGTGAATGCTTTCATATAGTTTCTGAAATCATGGTAACATGAGAAAATGTCATGCTTCATGTACTTGGTGCTCATGTTCTAGTTGAACTAACACATTCACTTCAAAAATAGAATGCTTATTAAAATATGCATTTTTAAAAAATTATTAGTTTAAGAAACCAAAGGTGTCAATTTCCAAACTTGTTGAAAAAGTTTTTTCCTTACTACAAATACGACTTTCCTGCTTTATACCTACTGCTTTTATATACTTTTAGCAGTGGAAAAGTTATATATATAAAATGTATAATCAATTGCTCTTGTGTTCTTAATTCTCTAATATTTAAGGTTAGATATTTCAGGAAATGTTTACTTGTTTTTATCATACGTTCATATGAAGCTATTTTAGAATTGACACTTTATGTAAAGAAATATTTCCTGTCAAGTATGAAGTTCATTCTCTTCCAGTTATGGAACAATTTTTTAAATCCTAGTCTTTAAGCTCCCAGTCTCTTGGACAACCAGTAGCACAGCCAACGATGTCTCAGCCTGCAACTTTACAGCTCCAGTCTGGCATGTCCCAGGTACGGATTAAGTTGGTTCATTGTTTATTATTTTTTAAACAGTCTTATTCTGAATATGAGATTAATTTCTCTTTCAGAAATTGAGTTCTTGGGTGCCAAAGTCACCTTTAACATTATTCTCTTGAACTGAGCAAATTCCCCAATTTGACACTTTTCCTTTATTTTTTTCTTCCCGTTATTTTTGTGGATATAGTTTTCAGCCTTGGCCATTAGAAACACAGATAACACAGGATAAAATATTTTAGGATATGAATTTGAAAATCCATCTACTATGCTGCTAACTTTCTACACATATGCTTGTTACACAAGGCAACTTAGTCTATGAAACAGTTTTGTGAAATAAGAACAGTGGTATCAGGTCCAACTGAAGATCTATGTCCTGTAGATAGGATATAAGTATGAAAAGGTTGTATTGACTTGTAGCCCGTAGCAAATGTTCTAGGGAAGAATAGAAGTGGCAAATAAAAGCTTCTCTAGGGGCTCAGCCTTCAACAGTTTCTGACTAAGGGTATTCCCAAGTTATTTGCGTATGTTTTAACTCTGGGTGAATTTTTTTGGTACACTGGTACAATTCTGATTTTTAACCTGAGAGAGCTTTAAGATCCACGGTACCATGTAAATTACTAAGGCTTTTTATAGAGTCTTGGTGATTTGGACACCAGTCAATTTCTTTTGCTATGGATTTTTTGTTTTTAGTTCACCAATTCTGATGCATCAATTAGATGCGAGTTCTGTGACATTTTCCTACTAATGAATTTGTCCTCATACTATGGTTATTAGCAGTTTAAAAACAGTGCTTGATTTCTTTGCTACTGTGGAGGCGTGTATTTACCACTTGTAAATAAAATGTCATGATTTTTGCTCAGCTTTTAATTTATTCATTGCACTACAGCCTGTGCTTCAGTTTTCAGCTCAATTAGGAGCTATGCAGCATCTAAAGGACCAGCTAGAGCAAAGAACACGCATGATAGAGGCAAATATTCATCGGCAGCAGGAAGAGTTGCGTAAGATTCAAGAGCAGCTTCAGATTGTCCATGGTCAAGGACTCCAGGTGAGTTAGTGTAACTCTTACAGGTTTGATCTCTAGAGAATTTAGGCATCTAAAATGAGACTTGGGCACTTAATTCCACAAGGTGATCCTCCCTACCCCCTGTCAGCTGCCATCTGGACCTAATGTGCCTAAAATCCATAGCATCTGAAGCTACTGTTCCTGAGGTACCTGCCATTTTGCTTCTGAATGTATCTGGAAGTGCCCCAGTGTATCTTTTCAATGTTGAGCAGCTCAAGCCTAGCTTATGCCTAAACCTACATGTAAAAGGATGCAGTGGTTGTTACTTCTTGCATATTTTTCCATAGAATATTCATCCACAATGTGCAAGATAAGCATTTATTTCCCCATTTAGCTCAAGGGAGTCAAATTCATACCTTTTGTTTCTTAGATTGTCCTAACTATCAGGCTGTAGTCCTCCTACACACCCTCCTGGTGAAGTCGTTCTACTTTGCATGGTGTACTGTAGTAGTTACTAAATCGGAAAGACAAGAAGTCTAGAGGATGCATTACTCAGTCTAGCACCTGACTACCTGATTTCTGTATTTTAACCACTATATTTTTTTCTAATTTTGTCATTCTCTTTTCAGTAGCTGTCTTTGGAAGAAAAGAATGATCCTATTGGGTTTTTCTAGTTAAAAAAAACCCAAATGAACAAACAAAAAAACCTAAGCCAAAACAAAAAACTAAAATACACCTTAAGGAAAGAATATAAATATTTTCAGTGTGAACTGTGAATAAAGAGTTGAAAAATTTACTTTCTGGAAGTACTGAGTATGTTGCTTAAATTCTGTTGAAGAGTAGGAGTTTCTGGCATGTGCCATTTTCAGTGTTTTATCGTGTCTAGTGTAAGCCTGCCAGCAGCAGACTGCCTTATAGATGCCTCAAAAGGAGAGATTCACAGCTCTCTTCCCATGCACTGTGGAGGGACCTCTTCGGGACTGTGGAAACTAGGGAAAAACACCCAAGTGCTGCACATTCTACCTTATTGCCCTGTCTCATTACAGTCTTGGGCCTAACTTTTTGTAAAGACTCAAATATTTTTGTGCTGAATTCAGTTTATTTCGGTGATGTTGGAAAATGCAGTATAATCATGATTTCTTGATTGCCAAGGAAGATTACATTCTTGGTGCTATGCCTGGATCTATTGATTCTGAGATTTTCTTCATTTGAATTAGTTTCACTGCTGGAGATCCTACAAATAGAAATGTGATCTCAAGTACATTTTGTCTTTAGACAGTTGTAGACTACATTACAAGTTAGTCTCTAAATAGTACTTTTTTTTTTAAGAACAAATATTAAACAATGTTTAGGGCTCTAGAAATCAGGATTCTGATTCTTATTTTATCAGTTACAGTAGCGTCTCTGAATACTGACCCTATATGGAAGTTGGGCCTCTTGCTCTTGGTGGTTGCAATGCTGTTTCAATATCTCTAATAACTAAGATGAAACTTTCTCTTATATTGATAAGTTTAGTTTCTCTAAAACATCTTGAACAATTAACAGATTTTTCTTAAAAGCTAACTTGTGGATTTTTTTTTTTTTTAAGATGTTCTTGCAGCAATCAGCTTCTGGACTCAACTTTGGTTCTGTGCAGCTTGCTTCTGGAAATTCTTCAAATGTTCAGCAGATTACACCAATAAACATGCAAGGTCAAGTTGTTCAGGCTAATCAGACTCAAAGTGGGATGAACACAGGCCATATAAGTACTCCACACATGATACAGCAACAACCTTTGCAGAGTACTGCAACACAGGTAAAATTCTCATTATTGATTTTGCCGGATAGAATATATACTCACAATCAGAGTTGAAACACAACAGTAGCTTCCCTGACATCCCTCTCCCAAATTTTTTTTGAACAATGTCCTTTGAATCATGTTCATTTCTTCATGTTCTGAGTTTTACAATTGAAATGCATTTCTCTTCTTGCTAATGCAATTTCAGATCCTGTTTTTATTTTAAGACTTAGGCATGTAAATAATTAATAACAAGTAGCTTTTTGGAAAGACCAGTATCAAGAAAACTTCTAGCTTGCCTTTTTTTGAAGGGCTATGAATTGTCTGTTGACAGAACACATAACGAGATTTGTACTAGGTGAGCTTGAAACCCAGTGTCCAGACAGTGGTCTACAGCAAATACCTAGAAAAGCATAGGAATGGGACAAGCATATATTGGTGCTTCTGCAGTTGACTTTTCTACTCTTCAGCAATTTCAGTCAGATGCCATAGCTATATCGCATCCGTAATGTAATAGCCTTTGATGGATTTTTCTTCTGTGAGTTTATCCAGTTTCTTTTGATTCCATGTAAACTTTTGAAATCCACAGTATCTCGTAGTGAGTTATACAGCGTTACTTTCTGGGAAATATGATTATGTTTGTTTTTTAAACCTGCCACCCAGCTCATATACTGGGAAACACATTGAGCAGTGATTCACATTTCATCTTCTCAGTTATACATGATTTCAAAGTCCTTTGTCACATGTATCTCCATAGAGGCCTGTTCTTCAAGGTGAACAACTTCTAATGGGTTTGACCATTTTGTGTATGGAGGCTCTTTCTGATCTCTGTGGTCACCCTCCTCTGTACCTTTTTCCAAATTCCATACTTTCTTTTTGAGATTTGTGAAGAGGCAGAGGAAGTGGTGGACAGTGTTATCATCTCAGCAGTAAGCTAGTTCCAAACTTTCAAGTAAGAAATTGATTGACATGATGCACGTTTTAGTCTGTCTGGCACAGAGATGCTAAAGGAGTGGAAAGTAGGATCTTGAACAAAGAGTATGCAAGTAGCTGAAAAATTCAGGAAAAAAATAACCCAAATTGAATGAGGGGCTAATCTAATAGATTTTCAGACGCCTGAGGGTCAGTCCCACCTCCAAATCCTCAGCTGGTAGAAATACCTGTCAACTTTAAATTAAGAATTCATTTGTAATAGAAAAACATTGGCAGTTGTGAAGTACGTCCAATGAGGAGGACAGCTGTAGTACCTGGCCATTTTCAAATTATTGTCTCATAACGTATTTTTTCTTTTCAGCATAATCAACAAAATGTACTTAGTGGACACAATCAACAGTCTTCTCTTGCCAGTCAGTCACAGAACACAGTCTCGGCACCTTTGTATAACACTATGGTGATTTCTCAGCCAACAACAGGAAATGTGGTCCAGGTTCCTTCTAGCTTACCACAGAACAATAACCAGAATGCTGCTGCAGTAACCACTTTTACACAGGATAGACAAATAAGGTAAATCTTCAAGACCAATATTCAGATGACTTGCTATAATTGTATGCTTACATAGCTACATCATATACAAAAGGAGCCTAAAGTAGCATTAAAAAATCATGTAATTTATTATTTTAACTATATATGGATACAACTGTTAAACTAAACTTTGCCCAAAATAGTATGTTTGCAGGCTTATCAAAACCCATGTTGTTATAGCAAAGTATGAACCTGACAAATCTGCATTTCTCAAGTGCGCGTGGTGCTTGATTTTTTTTTTCCTAAAGGGACTCCAAATGTTTTTTTCCATTAACAGATTTTCTCAAGGTCAGCAACTTGTCACAAAACTCGTCACGGCCCCAGTAGCGTGTGGAGCAGTAATGGTACCAAGTACTATGTTTATGGGACAGGTGGTGACAGCTTATCCCACTTTTGCTGCCCAACAGCAGCAGCCACAGACTTTGTCAGTAACGCAACAACAGCAGCAGCAGCAGCAGCAGCAGCAAAGTCAGCAAGACCATCAGCAGCAGCTCACCACAGTTCAGCAACCAGCTCAGCCGCAGCTGACCCAGCACCCCCAACAGTTCCTACAGGTAATGCAGCATTCTCTACAAATTTCTCTAAGTCCTGACACTTTCAGCATAGCTAGCTTATCCTAGGGGTGCTTTATCTGAAAACAGAGTGCTTAAAATAGTAACCTATGATCAAGCTTGATGCATGAGATAAGTTTATTCTATAGACATTCTCTAAAATCTTGCTATTTAAAGGAGAGGTAATCTTTCCTGCCATTTCACTCTATGCTTGGTCCTATTTTATATCTTCTTCCCTTTGAATCGCTGCTCCTGATTGAGCATGGGATGAAGATACAGATGTTTCCCTTTGAAAAAGCTTGCATTTTCTTTGCATTCACATATTAATGCAAGAAGGTATGAGAGTTGATCTCAAACAGAATTGGTTGGTCTGGAAAGCAGCATGCAACCCAGAGCAAGACATGGCCCCGTAACATGAGGCATGAACATCTGTCTAGGCTACAGGAGAGGCTGAGCAGCAAGTAAACTTGTAAGCAGAGAGTAGAGAAGAACCTTGGTTTAGTGGAGAAAGAGGAGAGATTGGGTCAAAAGAGAAGGCAGGCAAAACCCAAGGAGTTCAGAGACAGATAGGAAATGCCTACAAAAAGAAAAGAAAAGAACCAGAAGGTAGAAAAAATTGATGGGGAAATCTGTTGCCATTTGTCGATTCCAGTTAAACATAGACACCCAGCAGATGATGTTGGTGAGGGAGATGTAGTGGTAGCTAGAACACTAGAGAGGAAGTGCCTCCAAGAAGGCGTGGGTTAAAAAATCTTAATTAGGCCTCTGGTGTTGCCTTCTCCAAAGAAAGATAAAGTTAATGTAACTGTCACGATGTAGTTTGTGCACATTCTTAACATTCTTTAACTACTCTAGGAATGTAAATTTTTTTTTTTACTCTTTAAGAGTATACATAATTAAAAATCCTTATTTTGCAAGTATTTCTTTTCTTCCTACGTGTGGTCTCCTATTTGCACTAAAAGAGGGATCCTATGCATAGCTGGAATATATACAAATGGAGTAAGTAATTGGAGGCTTAACCTACATTTATATGCACAAGGAATGGTTATGGTTCTGTTCAGGGCTGAGTAAAATTTTCTTTCACTAGGTCATTGACAGAAAATATTGACTTGTTGAAAAAATCTTTCATGGAAACATACCAATTTCAGTCATGCATCAGGCAAAGGCTTTTCAGCTGCAAGTTGGCTCTCAAAAAAGAGAGCTGAAGAATACCTAGTGATTTGAATTTCAACACTCTTTTACGTAGTGGGAGACTCTTCAACTGAATCAAACCAGAGTGCAGATTTGAATGTGTTCTCTCACAACTCAGATAAATACTGTTAACAACAATGCTGTTTAGCAGGTTGGTAGTGTCTGTAGCTCTGTTTCTAAATTAAAAAGTTTGTACAATTTTGACTTAATTCTGGTGAAAAACAGAAGATTTGTGAAAGATGAAGATCTCCAAAGGTCTGTTCCTGTCCTAGAATTTCTTTCTAGGCAAAAGTTTAGTATTTTTAATACAAACTATTAAAGTGCTAGAATTTAAAGTGAAGCAAATGCTCTTTAAAAATGGAGAAAAGGAACAGTGCTTTTCCTGCCTCTGCTCACTGGGGCTTCTTACAGTCTGATTCTGTGGGTGCAGCAGGCGATGTTAGTTTACTTTCTACTGCAGACCGTGTTTCTGGATTGAGACATCTAAGTGCATTTGTACCCATCTTTCATGGCTTTTCTTCAGTAACCATCATCTTTTGGTTCTAAGAAAATTAATCTTAAAACTAAGTACTATTTCCAATAGTAATTAATGCCCTTCAAAGGGGATGTTTAGATCTGCAAATGCGGCAGTTTCTTTGTTCATTTTGGCTGTGGGGGATACATGTGATCTGTGCCAAGTCATGCACTGTTTTTTCATTTGACTGCAATGACAGCCACCTGCACTTGTTCCAGTGATTCCTTAAGTCCTGTTATGCTCTTGTGGTTTGAAATGGAGACAAACTGCTGTTTTCCTACCCATTGTCACGGGAAATTACGAAGACCAGTTACAGCTGCTTTATTAATTGGTCAGATGCTCTAATTAACTTCATTAGTATGAACTAATCTTTGCATTGTTTGCTCAGCTTAAATGACCAAATCAGAAGTTTATTTTGATTGAACCCTTGTGAAAAGTTAAAAAGCAGCTAGGCCTGTGTTTCTCAGTGCAGCAGGAAAAATAATTTTTCCCTATTTGCATGTTTTAGACATCCAGGTTACTTCATGGAAATCAGTCAGCTCAGCTTATCCTCTCTGCTGCTTTCCCACTACAACAAAGCACTTTTACTCAGTCCCACCACCAGCAGCATCAGTCTCAGCAGCAGCAGCAGCAGCAGCAGCAGCTTTCGCGACACAGAACTGACAAGATGACTGATCCTTCCAAAGTTCAGCCACAATAGTGTGGGGCTCTGCCTCTTTTTGAAGCAAACTATCAGGAGGGGGCTGCTCCACAAACAGTTGCACTGAGGCTACAGAGGTAGCAGTACGAAGGCTTTCTAACACCACAGTGTTAAGATCTACTTCTGACTTCTGGAATCTGTTAAGAAAAGCCACAAGATGATGATGGGGACGTGGCCAACTTTAATAGTTGCCCCAGTTTCTGTGTTCTAAAGGATTTGCTGCCATGTGTTAATTTGTCCAGGTGAAACCTCAAAATGTGACTGAAATGAGAGGGATGCTGAAAATATTGGTATTTTTATCAGTCCTGTACATTTTTAAAGTATTAAAATGGACATGGAGCAATTGTTTGAATTAGCAGAAAAAAATGCCAGGAATATAGTCCAAAAACCATCTAATTTTTTCCAGATGATTATGGGACAGTAAATATTTTGAAAATGTTGTGTGAAATCCAGTTCTCTGTTGTACAGATGCTGTAAAATATTGTGTATATGTCTGCATAAAAGGAAGAAGAGCAAAATATTTTATATGATGCATGAAAATGTAATCTGTTATTTGTAGGTTTGAATATGTTTCCCTAAATTCTCACACCATACTCAGACTAATGTTCTCCTCTGTTCTACCCTTTTGTTTACAACATGATGCATCATTATTTTCACCCTTAATGTGGGCACAAGTCTCTTGTTTGTGCTTTGTCTGTAATGTCAGGGTTTGTTCGGTGAGGTATAGTGTGTTGGTTAGTTGACTTCTCGAGGTTAAATTATTGATGAAGCTGTTTGAACTGGTGATCATGCATCAGAGTTCAGGACATTCAGATTCATGAATATCATCCATCATTTCATAATTAATTCATCGTTTTATTTGAAAAATAGGAATTTGCACTGCTTTCTTGCGGATGGTTTGGAATTTTATTCCCCAAAGCTATCTTTTGATATAGTTCATAGTTGGAAATATTTATGTAAAAGGTTTAAAAAAAATGACAGTAATTTTCAAGAATGTTTCAGTTATAGGAGTAATTTGCACAAAAATGTATTTACATTTAATAACCTTTTGGGCACTTTTTAACCACTTTCTCTGTGGTGAGAATTGTAACTTGTTAAAATATGTTGGAATCTTTTTATTCTCCTTCAAAAATTAGTCAGAACTAATTCAGGGTCATTTTAACAACAACAAAACCCATAGTGCCTTGATTTTAATTCAGGTGATAATGTTGAACATCTTGAATCTGTAACCATTTTCAATTTTGAAGTCTTAGTACATTGTCAACGAAACTTGTGTATCTACTTCATAGCTATTTCTGTATCGTGTTGATTTTAATAATGGTCTGAGTTGAGAACATAAGCATTTTTGAGTGGTACTCCCCCTCAAACACTAGCCAGAAACAGGAGTCTCTAAAATCTCAGACCTTGAAGGTAATACTCTTAAAAGATCAAAAAAATCTAAAAGTATAGATTACTCCTTTTGCAGGAGGAGGAATAGTAAGATGATTTTTTTGTTGGTTTTTTTTTTTTTTTAAATCATTTTCATAGTGTTTAAAGTGTGTGTTGGGGGAGATCATGATTGCTTTTAACACTACCAGGCTATTGATTTAAGAGGTATCACTGAACTAAGACTTCAGAAAGCAACTTCACTTTATAAAGAAAATAAAAAGTTCCAACAGATATGATGTGCTATTTTAAGTAAAAGTCAGTAGGTTTTTATGGTACTAGTTTGTGGAAACCAGAACTTCAGAGGAAAATTAATAAATGCTGATAGATCTGATAATTAAAAACAAAAACAGTAAAAGCAGTTAAAATGAGTTACTAGGGAGAGAAAGCTGAATTAATCTTGAATACTGAGGAGGAGTTGAATGAATGTAACCAAATGGTGATGGACTATTTTGTACTATGAAGCAGTTTGATTGTATTACTGGATGAACCAAACCCGCAGGAAGGTAATACCAGTTTTAGCCAAGCATTTGATACAGCTGGTTGTGTTTTGAGGCTAGCCTTTGCCTCTGCATGTGTCCCACCATTAGATCTTTGTTATTCCCCAGTTAAAAAGCAAGAGTTTGGTACCAAAAAGCACAGCAGTCAACAAGGAAGGAGAGTGTGAGAAACACAGTACCAAAGAGAATCAGATTGCTTTCTGCTCCAAGAAGCCTCTTGCAACCTGGAGCAAGGAACAGATGCCAATACCAAACACAGCAAGGAACGCTCCCTTCTTTAAAGGGATTTCTGGCATTCTCTGGGCTGGAATAATTGTCAGAAACCTGTTTCTCTAAAGTTCTATGTAAAGAAATCCTGCCTTGCTCTACTATCCCTACCACGCCATTCCACCTGTTTCTAAATTAAGCTGCGTTGACTAGAGGTCTGTGCTATCAGTACTTTTGCTTAATGGAAAATAGGTTAGATGATAAAAAATTTTTTTACCAATTACAATAACAATATAGCACTAAAAAAGAAAACTGGGAGAGCTTAAATAGTGCTGTTAGAACTATTGAATAGTGGTAAAATAGGTTTATTAAGCTATTATACTGAGAATTACAGAAAATAGAGATACCAGCCAGACAGTTAATGATGCAGCTTTTTATATAAAGCTTCATTTAAACTTCTCTTCCCATTTCCCCCTTCCCAATATTCTGGTGTGCTGCTATAGGTCTGTCAGTAAAAAGGCTAAACTAGGTGAGAGGGAAATCAGATGATGACAATAGCGTGGCTGCTGAAAGGGAACTATAGAAATGTACGCTTTGATCAAAAAGCTTTTTGTAACCTCGGAGAGAGGTCGTTCAATTACAGAACTACCAGCTAGTAGAGAAAGTATAGAAGATGGGGAAATTCAAAGAAACTGGAAAAATACAGCACGCATTTGAAAAATTCCTGCCACAAATCAGGCAAACTTTTTACAAAAGCGAGTATGTAGAACTTGGTCCAGATTCGGTGCAAGGATGCAGATGCTTTGTTTCACAGCTAATGACTAAAAAGTGTATTTTTTAAAGGGTCTGCAGCTTCCCCTGTTGCTGAATCAATTGTTGAACTGTCCATGATTTTTAGTGGGAGGAGGACCAGGCTATTGCCTTTCTTAATCAGCCTTTTGCTTCTGCCCAACTCGTTTACTACAGTCATAGACTTATTTGCAACGTCCTAATAAATAGCACGATAATGAATGCTGTGATGCTGCAGGTTCTGGAGCGTAACGTTACAGAATGACTCCAACAGAAGGGAAGGAGTCTGTTAAGGAGAGGATTGTATTTATGAAGAAATGGGCTGGTGATACATAATGGAGTGAAAAAGACAGCATAGTTGCATGGAGTTTAGGAGACAGACATTGTTTGCCTGCAATGGGTGAGGATTTGAAGAAAAGCTTCTAGGATAACTTCAGAGAAAAAGAATATAGCTATTTTTATATTATATTTAAT